AAATCTCTCAGAAATCTCTATGGCAGATTCTCCAACATCTAGCTAGACTCCCAGAACCAGCTAAGCTATAGCCCAGCTATCTAGGAAACGGACGTGTAGCGCGGAACACGTTTATCCGGTAAGGGTATTGCGGATAAAAGCGTACACGCAGGGAGCTACTCATAATCAGGATGGGGGATTAGGTTAAACAGAGGTTGATGATTGGTCACTGTTTGTACGGTCGCTGCACACAGAGTTGTACGGCCGCACCTCCCAATCCTGGCGAGCAGACATGCAGGCATACGATGACGCACAGGGCGATAACGTGTCCCACATCTTCTAAGTCAAAATACTTGGCATTTTTCCATCAAAATAACATCACCATCTAATTCCGTCATTATCGAGCGAAATTCTCAGGGTCTTAATAAGCACCATTTTTTGCAACTGTTACATTCCTGAGACATTTTCTGCCTGTAGAGCGGAGCCATTTTCAATTTTGACTACCCAAGTGAATTAACATTTTGCCGTAACTACCTCTTCCATTCTATATACATACAGATATTTTCATATTTCCATTCTGGAGATAAGTTGACTTCCATGTATACTTTCTATTATGTGCATTACTAAGGCTATATTTACTTGTGAAAAAATGGTAGATGCTTATAACGGCAGAAAAGTTGAGACTGTTTAAGGTAGGTATACTGTAATTTTCAAACCAGAGGGAGGACGGGTAGGTAGGGGATAGTTGTGGTGTGGTTGGTGGAATTTAATCTATTCATGACTCCGATAAAGCACGAAATTACATTTTATCTCACCATCACGTCTTAAATATATAGAAATAATTTTATGCAAACACCTTCTTAGCCATTTTTCAGCTCATTATATCCTAGGGAACCATGGCTGAAAGTGCCAACTGATAAATCACCTGAATTAGGATTTTTATTGTCCTAAAGCAAATAAATCCCCTTAATTTTGAACGTCTTTCGTTAAAAAAGAAAATCTGTTTTCACCTGCAGATGTAATTATTACTAGTTCTAGACTTACCAACGATAAATCACGATTGTTAACTATAAGATTAGGTTCCTGAACGAGTTCACTGACAGGATTTGCAGACACAATAGAATTCTTTGCAACTTTGGATAATAAGTAGTTGGCACATGGACTCCGATGCTGCGAAGACTGAAAACAATTGAGTATAAAAAACTTTACAAGAAAAAACGATGGGCTTAATGCATGCATTCTTCCTTTTATTTACATTATGAATGAAAGTTGTTGCAGAAATAAGTTCAATAATAAATTCAAAGATTTATCTTTAGTTAAAAAGTACATATGATTCAATCTAGCATTAAAGTCTGGGTAGACAGGCTGTGAATCGTTATAAAATTTGTTTATTTTTAAAGGTTCGCAAATAAGTATGCTTAACATTTCATGTTCGTTTCATCGAAATGGATTTTTTACTTGCTATGTGCATGTTTGTAACTCAAGAATCCTTAAATAGACACATTCTTGAATAAGGTTTCATTTCTGCCACATGTGGAATATATAAATTGATGAGATAACAGTTTTGTAAATATTGCCATTCTCCTTTGTGTCCATTTGGATATATTTTCTTAGAATATTTAATACATACACCATTGACCACTATAAATTCATTAAGATAAGAACACATGTGGGACTAATACACGTGAAAATATTTGATGCTTATGTTAGGTAGAAAATTTGAATAAATGAAGCTTATAAAATTAATTTTCTCATTTTCTCGCTTTATAGTAATTCGATTAAAACTTATGTGAACCAAAAGAATAAAATGGGAAATAAATTTTGCATAAAAGAGCGCACAAATATAAATTGATTCAAAATAACTAACCTCATGATATTACTTTAGCTTTCGACGAGTCGGCAGTTATTGAATATCAGAAAATAAATCTAGTAATGCTCTGTTTTTATTAATTCGAAATTTAAATTATATGTAAGGATAATCAACAAAAAATTAGTATATCACGAATTTAATTTCTCTTGAATTGTTTTACGGCAGCTTTTAATCAGCGCTGCAACCAAACCGTCTGACTTTGCTACTTTCCCGATGGAGTATGTAATAGGCATTGCTTTTAAGGATTTTGCTATTGTAGCTGCTGACACACGCGTAAGCCAATCAGTTATTACGTTGAAAGACGATGCTGACAAAACATTTGAACTCAGCAAGCATTGTTTGATGCTTGCCTGTGGTGAACCCGGAGATTCAATTCAATTTGCCGAGTTTATTCAGCAGAATATGCAGTTATATGAAATCAGAAATGGTTACGAATTGTCTCCATTTTCTACAGCTCACTTTACCAGAAGAAAACTTGCTGACGCTCTACGTACAAGAAATGCTTACCATGTTAACTCGATTCTTGCTGGTTATGACACTGAGCGTGGAGCAAAAGTCTATTATATGGATTATCTGGCTTCACTTATTGATTTGCCATACGCTGTACATGGACACGGGGGTTATGTAACGCTTGGAATTCTTGACAGTGATTATGATCCTGCTATGAATATGGATGCTGCTCTTAATCTCTTGAAAATGTGTGTTGCAGAACTTCGAAAGCGTTTTCTGCTCAATTTTGATCGCTTTATTGTAAAAATAGTTGATAAAGATGGTATTAAACGCCTTCCTGATCTTGTTTAAATTTGTCATTGAATAAACCGTTTCCTTACATTGAATATGTCGCTTTTTATTTTGCTTGTCTACCTATCGTAGTTTTGTGCTTTATGCCTCTCTACAATATTCATTTTAATTTTCTACATAACTAGTCTTTGGTTTTTTTTCCTTTTCTGCCTTAGAAATATTTTTATATTTTTCAATTTACTTTATGTCTTCCTTTCACTCGTAATTAGTTGTTGTAGCATCCATTAGCTGACTATTTATACCTTGATAAGCATTTTATTGGTAACAGGGAGTAGCAGTGGTTCGAGAGTTCTTAAAAGATAGTGAGTAGAGGGGGAGAATTGAGACAGAAAGGGGAAGGAGGCGTTGGGCCCTTTGAAAGCAGTGCATCGTCACCTCTTGGTGTTACTTAAGATTTCTTTGCATTATTTCAATGCGACATTTTATTTATCTTCAGTTTAGTACGCTCGTATTCATTCCAGTTGGGTTCGTGGATTGAAGGAAGGACAATTATATTTCTGGTTTTTATTAATGATGGTGGTTACTCTATTACCTTTATTATTATCCGTTTCAAGGTAGAAAACGTCACTCTATTAAGCTTTCGTAAAAAAGAACTAAATAATTGGGACGGTTAAATGGTTATAAACTCAGTACCTCTTCATATAATTTTCGAATTCATGCTACTCAACTTATTCTTACTTTACTGTTTCTTATTTTCACTGTTAGGCGTTTGAAAGTGACCTAGCAAATTTATGTGCACCAAGTTTGATGGTCTGTAATGTCAATTCAACGCGTCCTTTTATTAGAATGTCTGTGATAGCAAGGTATTAAGGTGTGCTCCTTAACTCAGGGGGGAATTCTAGCTTTTATTATTGAAGTTGTTCGTTTTCTTTAGCTGGGTTATATGCGCGGTGCTATTATTAAGTCTTGATGCTTGTTTTCTTCTTATCTTAATCTCTACACGAGCCCTGTAATCATAAAAAGGAGAAAAAATACAGTTTTAAAGGTAGCTTTTTCCGTTTATTTAACGCTGTATATGCATATATATATATATATATATATATATAAGTGGTTTGGAACTTAAGCTCTATTGGAGCGAAGTGACAAGTTGACGGAGTGACTTCATTTGGGAGAGAAGGAGGAGGAAGAGGAGGAAATCTAACAGCTCATAAACAGCAGAAGTGGGGAGCTTGGGGGAAGGGGAGGGGGTGGAGTTCAAAGTCGAAAGAAGGTGGGGGTGGGGTGGAGAAAGAATTTCATTTTGGTTAGTAGTGGTGTTGCATGTATGTATAGATAAGGACAATGAAGTAATTCGAACCTACACTCACTCTTCGCTAAATTCATTTTTTCCCGTCTCGTTACACCTGATTGACTCATTTACACTATGCTATGGATTGAAATAAGTTGGGAGGGGGAGGGGAGGGGAGGCAGGGAAGAATGGGAAAAAGAGAAGGAACAGGGATATTGCTTTATTCTACACGAAAGGAACAAAAATTGGCGTAAATGGTTTTATGGTATTCACTGGTTGTTGCTATATTTGGTTGAGCAAATGGGCTTTATACTCTTTCAACCGTCCTTCTATTAAATCCGAAAAAAATCATCCGATCAATAAAGTAGAGTCAGACGAGATCCGAAAGCCTATTGGCTACCCATTTTAAAATAGAGATATCCAACGTGCATTTGTGATTGGCGCGATCGAAAAGGAAAGTAAATCGCTGCTGAAAAGATTTAAGTAGATGGGATTGTTAGATAAATGGTGCGCCCTTGAACACTAGCTGCCGGCAGCTGTTCAGTGTGGAAAGGAGAAAGCAAAGCAAACGAAAGAAGGCCGATTGATCGAAAGGCTGGGAAAGGAAATGAGAGCTATTTATGTTCTGGGAGGTCGAGGGGGCACCGATGGTGTGGAACGAGAAGCAGCGTTTGCGGCGCGCAGCGCCTTCTGAACTGCTTCCGCCGCTGCACTTGCCGCTGCGCGTTTTTCTTCGGGTGTCAAATCGGCAACTTGACCTGTTTGGGGTCCCATTTTGCCAGCGTTGTTGATCAAATTGATAAAGAGGAAAGCCAGGAAGAGGTTGAACAGTAATACCAGCACAATCACGATGTTAGCGCACAGCCAATCCTAAAAGAAGACACCAATTATTAAAATTTGATATCAGTATTATTGCACTTCTATACTCCCCTGCTTACAATAATAAACTGCGCTCATTTGCTCCCCAGTTCCAAAATATTAAATTTCATTTTGAATAATAGTGCTTTTTATTTTTAGGAGTGAATGGAAATGCTTTCCTCTCCCCGTTAAACATGTAACTTCCACTCGTTTCACCAGAATAGCGGGCAAATAAGTGCTGAGTTAGAATCTATTTTATCATTATCTTTGTGGCATTTAGTTAAAGAATGCAAAAGGCTACATTTTACTGAAATATTTGCGTTAGTGAATTTGTAGCAGACCAATTTTGATTTGGTGATAAAAGGAAGGATACTTTCAGGGATGCCTCAGTAAATAATCGACATTAGCATCAGATGAAGATCATCATGTCAAGTAAGTAGTTCTACTTGTTGTGACCTTTGTTTTGCGAAAAAAATCAGCATTCCTCAGTAGATTCGCAAGAAATTGCCTTGACTTTCTCCCGTCCTAGGCATCACAAATGTGTGTATCCTTAGATGGGAGGGGGGGGGGGGGGTAGAGGGGAGGTTGATGGATTGATGAGAAACCTTCAACACTAATGCTAATACGAAACAAATATTGGCCCTACTATGAGTTTTGGGGTAGAGAAGTCCTCGAATTCATCAAGCTTATTAAATGAGATTACAGTATTTGTTAAAGTATGGGCAAACTCCTTTTAATGATTTAAAGTATATTAACCAATAAGCAATGCGTGTATTTCGATAATAGTATCCTTCCTATGATTGGCTGAGCTTAGGTGGTTGGCCTTTATCGGTTGAAATTATGAACCAATAAATAAGTGGATTTCAATTGATTGGTTAGTGAAAAGCCAATCATTGGAGTAAACAAAAACCTACCTTAATATCTGCCAATCGAATGATGATTTCTCCACGTTTCTTTCGTTCTCGATCGAGGAGAAGTTCGTGTCGTCTTTGTTGTCCCAGTCGGCAGACCTCATCTCGAGTCAGGAATCCACCAATACCAAGTCTAGGTGCTCCAGGACCACCCTTGCTTAGCAACATTCCTTCCACTCCCTTAGAAACATCTGGCATACTGGCTTCCAGACCTCCTTTAAGCAGATTTCCAACTGATTCGATTTTGTACGCATCTGGGAGTGGTAATAACTCGCCAGTATCGAAATCCGCTCCCGTTCCACCAGCCAATCGTCGCGCTTCATCACCTACTTTGAATCGTCGATCAGGCCTAAAAGTATGAAGACATATTTTATTGTAACTTCCTGTATACATCGTTATATCTGTTTATTCATGGAGATTCTATCTGCCTTTAATTGTCTATTCTTATAAAAAGTTAATAGTAACTGCAATTCTCTGCCATATTTACCATTCTGGAACTGTGTCCATTGTTAATGAGATTGTTTCCAAGGGTTTTGGCGTTCATATTCAACCCTTATTTGGTTGACTTGTTTTAACTCTAAATAAATATCAACCATAATGTTTGAATTACCATAAAATAAACGGAATAAAGTATGCATCTATAAGCATGCGATTATGAAAGACTGTTTACCCCCTACTTCCCAAGTGTTTCAATAAGTATGATTATTCATTTACTATTTATTTTAATAAGAAACCATTAAAAATTGGAAGTAATGTTCTTGGTTGGTGGTGGTGGGGGGGGGAGGGAAAGGCGTCAAACGAGCCCTCTTTAGCATTCTTCGATTTCTAATCAAGAAGGTGAGTTCATTGTAACACAACTAAATATCTGTTTTTCAACGTGTTTTCTTTGTTTTCTACGCCCTTTCTGCAGGAATTTCATGACCTTGACATTCAATACAAATATCATTTTTTGTCAAAGGGCAACTTACGAGACAGCATGACCACGTCTCAAGGCGCCAGTAGCTCCACTAGCATTTCCTTTTCCCAACAACGCACCAGCTTCAGATGCTCTAGTCGGCTGAACTCTCTTCTTCACTCCATCCTCAATAATATATGTCTCCACTAAATCTTCGGTGCTATGATGAACATCATCCAAATTGGAGGAGAGTCCAGGTATTGCAAAGCGCTTTTCACCAGCCGGATTCCCTAGAGCCGAGGCTGGAGAAGAGGGAGAAAGACGTGTTCCAGGTCGTTGAAGGGTGGACATTTTACTGCTTGCCTGTGGAGTAGCAACACCGGAGGGTGGAGTGGTTAGAATTGAGGGGAGGGTTCGTCGACGGGTCATCTTTTTCTCTGTTGAGGTGAGTGGAATTTTTCCCGATTTCATAAGATCGAAGGCCGAGAGGGGTGGCGGGCCTGTGGCACCGGAAGTGGCAGCTCGAACCGCGGGTCTACCCTGAGAGACTCTCTGTTCGTTGATTGGTGGAGGAGACTTTGAGATACTGCTGACAAACTCCATAGTGGCTGTGTGAATCTTGACATGGGGAAGGCAAAGTGGTCGTCAGACTAACAGTTTTAATTGTCAATCAATCAAAAAATTCCTTGAAATTACGCCCAGAGACTGATCAATATGTTGTTTAAGTCGAGCATGATTTAATTTCAATCGTAGATGAAATAAGTGTTAATATTTCTGAACAACATCTGACAAGCGGAATGACAGTTTTTCATTAGCATACTTTTGGGAAATTTCATTTCGTTCAGATTCATCGCCTTTGATTAAAAGCTATATGTTATTAGTTGTAAATTAATATGATAGGGATCAAATTACAGTCTTTAACTCCAATCTTTCCTCATCTGCTTGCATTTTAGTGTCTGTGCTCTGGCAAGACACTGCTTATGTGCTCTAATTAATCTATTCAACTCCGAATAATCGATTTTCAATTCTTTACTAATGCTTGCATTAAAATTGAGTTTTTAATAGCACTTTTCTGGAAAAAATTTGGCAAGAGTATCAAAAGTAGAAGACTGCTCTTTTCTGGCAATATAAATCAATTCACCAAACTCAAATCTTTATCTACCTGCCATGTCACAAAACAGTTCAAATTTCGCCGAAGGAAAACGTTTAAACGCACAGTTAATATTAATTTATATACCCTTCATGTAGGTCAACATGTCCTGGTGAACATAGATAGCAAATCATCGAGGATCTAATTATCATCGGGACATCTAGCATTCAACCTTCATGGTATGCTCTTTCCGATAATACAGTATCTGAAAAGATTTGTCCAATACCTGTGTGTCATTTGATAGTACCACTTGAGCTGTGTGCAAAACCGGTGATTTCTTTGACGTTGTTGTCTGCGACTTTGGTATTGGCTTCTGCGGCGAAGGAGATAAAGCAGCTTTAACAGGTCCTCCAAGAGTCTCAAACTGCGTTTCCTCCAAATTCTGCACCTTTGCAAATTGGTGCACTCGTTGAGGAACAGGAGCCAGTTGGACCTATTTTAAATCAAGCAAACTCCCACTAGAAAGTTATTCTAAAATATCATTCATTTCTTCACATTCCCTTCAGAATCTCTCTTTCACTAACTCCGTCCTATCTGCTGGAAATAAAAATAGAGTGAATGGCGTTCATTATTAAGCGCAATCCGCTCTCACTCATCCAATGATTGGTATGCGTAAGTGCTACCATATGCGTACACATACGTGTTGCAAAATAACCAACCAAGTTTCACCAAAATACCAGTTTCTTTTCCTAATTGGATGCTCTTTCGGAAATAAATTACACGCGTACATTCGTACAAATAGCGAATCAGATTGTGATTAATGTCTCATGCTATTAGTTGTCTAACACTTATTCAAGCAATTCTGAGTGCGACCGTTTTACCTACGTGATTTTAAATGGCCTGTCAGCAGAGCAACTTTACAGTCCACCAATGAAAGAAAACTAAAAATTTTAGTCTACTTATATTGCGCCATTTTGTGTGGAAATGTGTGCTTAAATAGAATGGCATTATGTTAGAAGTATATCACTGAGGGCGTCTATTGCTTCCGCACTGTTTTCTTTTCCTATTTATCTAGAAATAAAGGCAAGTGCCAAATTTATGTGAACCGACCTTCATTTCCTCCGGCTTAATTTCATTATCAGCAACGTCTTGCATTCTGGGTCCATCCAGATTGCTTTCATTGAGAACACCACTGGTGCTCCGTTTGAAACTCGAACGAAAACTGCCTCTTCGATTACCCCCACTGACTTCTAAGCTATTTACAAAGAGATTGTTTGTGTTGGCAGGTCGCATTGTCACTCCATTAGAGTTAACCTGAGCTGTAGCTGACGGTGTTCCACCTCGAGTTATCATATGCGCAAAGGGGTTGTTCCTTTCCCATTGAACGCCTAGGAAACGCAAAAAAATAGTAGCGTTTATTTGAAGAATCAACATTTAGCGATATGTTTTGTGGAGGTGAGAACAAACTTACCCATCTGCATAAAATCTGAAGCGAATTCGGTGGCGATTGCTCGAGCCTGGTCCGAAATATTTTTCGCATCCTCAGCTCGTGTTTCTGCTGTCTTAGCCACACTTCGTGCAGTTTGAGCCCTGCAGAGAAAAAAAAGGAATATTAAGTTATCGATTAGGCAAATATTTGGTAGGTAAATCTCAATTTAATCAATATTGTTGCAAGTTAATTAGCCGCCAGCAGGGCCACGTGTTCAACCCCCCCCCCCCCCCCCCCCCCCACCTTCCTCCACGCCCCAGTTACAGTAAAAAATTAAGCAAAGTTTCAACAATCTACTCCAAATTAAGCAATGTTACAGCCAATAGTCTTAGTATTTTTTAACAAAATATTAATTAACTGATTAATTAACTCTAATATATTGATGCAATTAATGTAAAACACATGGGTTTACGTTCAACCTCCACCGGGGAAAGTTGTTGACACAATTAGTCTTGCTACCACATTGGCGCAGCTCCAAGTGGATCAGGCAAGACCGATTTTCTCGGGTTTTTTGCATTCACTATTCACCATTACAGTTTGCCTAAAACGAGATTTGGCTTATCTCAAACGTAATTGCTATCCACTTTGAAGAATTAATAGTGCCGAGCTAATTAGGAGTAATTTGAATGTGGTGGGAAGTGGGAAGGGGGGGGGGTAACAAAACAATGACCTTATTTATGTCCCTTAAGGGGACACATTTGTGGTATCTGATGGACAAATGCACAAGATTTATGGAAGGATTATCGATTTCGTGTTGTAAGCAATTGGACAAGTCGAATTAGAGTCCTAAAGGGCATTGAAAATTCCAGAGAACTTATGAGTTTCTTCATATTTACAAAAAATCTTTGACCCAAGTGAGCAGCTTAATGTCATCGCCACTACCAACACGATATGGGCTGAAGTAGAACCTCTTAGGTGATAATAGAACAGCAAGGAATAATGAATAATTTTAGCTTAATTATGAGAATTAGCGTAAGTAGATGTAATTGGAGCGGGGAAAAATTATTTGGTCACAATTTTTGCAGAAATAATCATCATTTCTGCGTACAAGTCTTCAAACTCTTTTGCTAAATATTGAGAAACCAAAGACTGTTGACGTACGACACTACAATATCATCATGCGAGAAAGTGCTCTCGCCACTTGTCATGAACTAATTTGACACCAAAATGGCCACGAAATAGGCTGATTTATTGATTATTAGTACACCATGCACGTATCTGGAAATGGACTCTCTTTGCTACTTAAAGTTGAGTTGTATGACCCTTGTGTCATCCTTAACGTAATCTAACAGATTTAAGAAATCATGCTCATACTATGGGATGTGCCATAGACTTGCCTCCACTTGGTGCAAACCAATGCTCATAGGGCAAAAAAGTCTATAAACCGAGCAGTTCACTTCTGACTTCAAACTACCATGAACTCATTGTGTGTCATATTTCACCTTTTCTCTGCCTTTGTGCCTGTCTGTTTGTCTCTTTTACATCTGTGAATCATCCTTCCCCCCTTCCCCC